TGTCGTACAGACGAGGGAGTTAAGCGGAGTTCGCGGGTGCCTGTGTGACAGTGGTATTTGTCACCTAAGAGGAGGGTGCCAAGTCATGCTCCTCACATCGAGATAATAGGGAGGGAGGGCGGAAAGTTAGTCTCATACATTTACATAATAGGGATGCTGACTGAGCTGATATAATAGGATGCAGCAAAGGTTCGCCGCGACCCCCCCCTCCCCCTCCAGAAGGGAAACTGTGCGTTCGCCCATGTTAACGCATATGGGAAACATTGCTGTGTGCTTCGGTAGTGTGGGCGTGGCCTCTCCGCCCTTCCTAAGCTGTATCTGAGTATAGACGACTGTAAAGGTTTTACACAGTTCTCATTTCATGACCGTATGCAGTTTTCATGGAGTATGGCTACCTTTATTTATTTATTGCTTACAGGATTAAATAAACATAGTCCTTGTATTAGGTCCGTTGAAATGCGATTTCACACAACGGCGCGCATACCGTAGTTGTGCTGGACCGGACTCTCTCCGCAGGAAGGGCATCAGGGGAGAAGAAAAAACGTACCCCCACCCCCCGCCCTCGCCTCAAGAGTCAACACAATATCGCGATTGAGTGCGTTCCGTAGACGCCCGCGAGGTTGATTAAAATGACTATTGGCGCGAGTGGTGATGGAGTAGTAATGGTGCGCGACTGCTCACCCAAAGGTCGTGTGTTCGATCCCGACCGCGGCGGTGACGTTTTGACAGAGGCGAAATCTCGGAGGCTCGTGTGCTACGTGACGTCAGTGCACGCTGAAGGAATCCAAGTGGTACAAATTTCCGGAGCCCTACACTTCGGTGACTCTCATAATCGTGTGTCGTGTTTTTGGCACTTAAATTATCATCATCATTATTATTATTATTATTATTATTATTAAAAGAATAATCGATTACCACCTGTTTGTAGCATGAAGCCACGAGCAAAACCCATACTAACTTCTCGGCAATGGAAGCTCCTATAGTTGAATAGACGAACTTCTACGGTCTATGCTGCACCTCCCCCCTCCCTACACCGGCCAGGAAATCCTGGTACCACCTCTCGCTTCACTCGCCTGAACGGGTCCGACAGGAAGTCCTTCCTGACGGCGAGGACCTTCTCGCCGTACACGACGCGGGATAGCTCGTCCGCCAGGTCTCGCAGTCCGAGCTCCTGCAGCTGCACGAGGAGCGAGTGGAAGGTGCTGTTGGCCGGACGCCGCCGGTTCCACAGTTCCAGCAGCCGGTAGCAGGATAGCGCGTGCGACTGCGCGTGACCTGTATAGGATAAATGGATCACAGTGTGCGCTAACTGCGTGGTCTGTTGCGGTTCACTGGGGTTCGCTGTGCCTACGTACCTCACGGTAGAGTGGACCTAGTACACTCTACCGTGAGGTATAGGGTGTATTCACTCGACGTCATCCGAGTGGATTGCTATAGCGTTGGAGTCGCCATTTTGAAGGTTCGCACGTGCATGAAATTCGCTGCACGCGCTTTGTTCGAAATCTGTGCAGCAATCCGAATGCTTTGAGACCTCCGGAACATTTTCTGCGCGCCGAAACATGAACAGCAGGACGGCGCCTACGAACGGACCTTCAAGATGGCGCGGCGATGGTGTTTCCGTCTTGCGGATCAAGGCATACCCCCCTATACCGTGTGCGGAAGCTATAGACCTTCTTAACGAAGAGAAGGATCCCCTCCTTTCTGGGCTGTTGCACGGGGGTACAAAAGCTGACGTCACAGCATCGGCCCTGCATTTTTGGGGGGTCACGCATGTTAACAGCCCAGAGAGACCTAATGGCGGCGCCCAGGGAGCCTTCTCTGGTACCGTGTCCTCTAATCATTTTGTCGAAAGCGAGCTTTAGCTTGTTTAGCACCGGGAACTCACATCTTCGAACGCACGCTCTTGCGTTCTTACTCCCGGCCGCAGTCAAGGGGAATACAATAGAATGTTTCGGCTTTCGTACGTAAAGCTCTTCAGTGTGGCTCCGGCACTAAGGCCCGTATTCACAAACTAACCTTATCTTTATATCGTGTTTTGCTTATCAGATTTGGGCTTGCAGTGCTTTTGATAAACGAAGTAGATCGTGCGTCCCGTGTCTTCTTTTGGGCTGTAATTACTCTATGCTAGGTACAGTTCCTGTCTTTGGGTGCACGTTAAAGAACCCCAGGTGGTCGAAATTTCCGGAGCTTTCCACTACGGCGTCTCTCATAATCATATGGTGGTTCTGGGATGTTAAACCCCACATATCAGGTACAGTGCCTGTCCACGTCTATTGGAGCGCTCGAGCTCTGCGGGGCGACACCTTGGTGTGGTTACTGCGTCTTACGTCACGCGCTCAAGAACACGCGCGGCCTAAGAGATATGCAGACTTGCTTTGTACGAGTTTTCAACATTGAAGAGTGCACTTGTCTCACCGAATATGGACTCGGCCTTGGAGCGGAAAGTGCCCCGAGGCTGAGTGCGCCCTTTGGGGCTGTTCTGATATTTGGAGTCACGGGAAATAGTGATGACATCGAGTAATGTGCAGTGCCGCCAAAAACGAAGGTGCTTAATGACCAATATCATTTCAGGAGTCAACCCTTTCAGTCCTGGAATTATTTTTTATCAGGTAATACCTGTTCCCACCAGATACCAAGGAGCCAAAGGCTGGCCGTTGTGAGAATAATGTCATTGCTTCAGTTTTAAATTTTTTGCACCCATTTCAATGCTTTTATTCGGAACTCGAACAGCGGGGGCAGGGGCCTGCAGTGAAATATTCTCCCTCTCCCCCCAAAGTGGAGAAACCTGCGCACTTCTTGTGGTTGCGTCTAGCAGATGACCCATATGCTCTTACCGTCCGGCGTGGCGTCGAGGGCGTAGTCCTCCGAGGAGCTCATTGACTCGACGAGGCTGCGGCACTGGTCCAGCTTCAGCCTGTCGGCCACGAGCCGCAGCTGGGCCCGATTCAGGTCGTTCGTCCCTTCGAGACCCGCTGGCCAGGAGGACAGCAGCACGGCCGTCAGTAGTACGGGGCCACAGCGCCGGGAATAGGAAAGGCGGAGCATATCGCTTCTTGGCAATTGTTCTTTCTTGTTTACCTGTTCACCGTGGCTAACACCCACTTGCCTGGTAGTGGTAGTAGACTAGTAGTCCCTTGAATCGGTGGCACACACCCGCGTTAGGGGATTGGCCAAGAACCGGGTAGTTCAAAATTCCTAGGTATTTAAACATGAGAAGAGTAAAAATAAATAATTGAAACTAAGAATAGACGAATAAGAAAGTATTGTTCTTTTTGATATAATAACTGTGGCTCACACCTATCAAGAAGGGGGGGGGGAACTGATAATTCAGTGTTCTTTATAAAATGTCATAAAGCTCATAAGGACATTAAGGTGAAACAATTACGAGGTCTAGATTGATAAACTGTATTCTGAGAACTTTATGATGTCACTAGTTTCACCATCTTAAGTTCATTGTTAGCGCGTAAAATCAAGGTGGACGTTTTCCTCCTTTGTCTGATGTGGGGGCCGGGCAGGCAGATCTGGTTGACCGTCATTTTGTGCTGTCTATGCCATGAAAAAAAAAAGAGAAAAAAGCGTAGAGAGAGGGGGGAAAGAGCATAGGCCATGTGTGCCACCCTCTGATTACGCCACTGACGAAATGCAATTCTTACCTTCTGTCGTCGTCTATTGTGTTGTTGCGCGCTAAAAGGTAGTTTGTCATTTCTCTCTCTCTCTCGCTATATATATATATATATATATATATATATATATATATATATATATATATATATATATAAGATTTAACAGACAATATGCCAAGGAATGTATAGGAGAAGTTATTAGACTAATTGTAATGTAAATGTAAAAAAATAAAAGTGGGTGAAAAGATAACTTGCCGTGAGCAGGAACCGAGCCTGCGAATATGTGATCAGAATATGTGATCATAGTTGGCGATAGCGCTTCCACATAGCGGCAGGCCGGCCAGTACGTCCCAAGGTGGAAAAGGGCGAGACGTGCGAGAGTAAGGAACGTGTTCGCCTGAAGTTGGCGCCACCAAAGGTGCTTTGGCTCCACAAGTGTTGGTAGGGCTGGGAAACGATTTTGCGTGGGTTGGCTGGAGGGGAGTAACGCGAGAGAGGTGGCAGTGAATGTGATGTCGTGGTCGCGCGTATTCATTCCCGTAGAGTAGCCAATGGACGAGCCCCCAAGCTCCTGTCTGAGATGGGTCTCGCCAGACGAGACCGTGCTGCCTTGCTGCGCCTGCGGACCGGTTGCGTTTGGACCGCTGCTCGCCGCCACGCCAAGGGATGCTGTGCATCTCCCGCCATCGGCCGATGTGGGGATCCCGAGACCCTCGAGCACATCTTCTGTGCCTGGCCTGGCATAGCACAGGAACGTTCGAGGGTCACCACAGCCTACCGCAGACTGGGCCTACCTGCCACCACCTTGGACCACCTGCTCTACCCGTCCCGTCCACACCTGCCAGCGCTCCGGAGCCTGGTAGAGTTCCTGGAGGAGACGGGAATAGCTGCCTACAGATGAGCAGAGACCTACCGACCCTGCCCCGGCTGCTGCCCGTTTGCTGCTTCAGCCATGGCCTTGACATCTTACACACACCCCTCCCCCGCCCAATCTATCCTCTTTTACTCCCCTCCCCCTTCCCTCACAAGGGCCTGCGCCGTGTCGCCCAAGGGGCCGACAGAAATGAGGTGCCTTCTTCCTCTTTCTAGAATCACTCCACAACAACAAACATTCCCGGCGGGAATGGGCTTGCTCGGTCAGTTGAAACGCCGCCCTCCAGAAGCATAAGAATCGCGATGCTTTTCGCGTTTATCTTCTCGTTCACTCTGCAATGTACACGGATACCAAACGGCGACCATAATAATCCACGCGATAAGCTATCTGCACGACATGCGATCAATCGGCGTGAAGCTTTATTTCGCTTTTTGTCCGTAAGCGAAGATCAACCACGAAGAAAAAAAAACACTTCTCCCACCCCATAAACCCCTACCTACAATTTATGGCTGGATATCTTGCATACTTTGTGGTATCTTCTGGTTCTTGGTTTCCGGAAGCCGCCTGATCAGGAAAGTGGCAGTGAATAGCATTACGAAGCACAGTACGCTCGCCGCGGTCGGGGACACGTGCGTCTGCAGTTTCAACAGAACCGGACCACAGGTCGCACCTAGCTGACCGAAGAAGATGGCCACAGAGGTGCCTATGCCACGCACTACGGTCGGGTACAGTTCGAACGTGAACACGTTCACGACGATGATTTCACCGATCAGCATGCACACGATGATCTCGCCGACGATCCAGGCCAGGCTTCCCTCGTACGCGCCCTTGATGGCGCCGTGCAACAGCAACATGGAGCACGTCAGCGGCAGCGCCGCCGTGAGCAGTGTCTTGCGCTGACTTGCGAGCAGCAGTCTCCAAGACAGCAAAACGCTGACGGTCCTGGTGACGGCGAGAAACACGACGTGCCAGATTCTACCAGAACGCCCGCTCAAGCTCATGCCATACAGGGAGAGCAAAATGCTGAACCACGTCCAGCACAGCGCGACTGTTCTCCTGCAAACTTTCTCGCTAGCCAGAAAAGTGAGGATGTTCATTTTCTGCAGCACCGCCGGGGCGTGAAAGGTCGAGACGGTAGCGAGCAGGTTGACATCGTTGACGTGGTAGCTATTCCACAGTGCGGCACGCCGTATCACCTTCTCGGCAAACTCGCCGTTGTTGGACACCAGGAGCCAGCGGACGGATTCGTCCAGCAAGCAGAACAGCGGCAGAAGCGCCATGGTGAGGGCGAACGTGACCATGTCCAGCGCTTTGTAGTTCTTGAGTGCTTGGGTGAGTACTTGGGTCAGCACGGTCCCGACGACCCCTCCGGCCAACGCCAAGAAGATATTGCTGTCTCGGTGTTTGTCGCCCGAGCTCTCGAACAGAATGATGAGCAAGGCGAGCTCGAGGACGCTCAGCGCGGCCGCGAGAATGGGTCATATTCTGTGATTCGAAGGCAGCGCTTGTAGGAGTTTGCAGTCTGCCATGCGTAGGAGGAGCCATGACCAACTGGTACAAGAATAAGACATTGCCATCATGAAGCTCTAGCACGAGGCATGATATTATATATCAATGGCTGCCTGGACATATCGGTATTACCGGAAATCAATTAGCCGATGATGCAGCCCGCTCAGCCCATGAAGAAACCCGTGTAGTCCCGATTCATCTAGCAAGGAATGATGCAGCAAGACACTTTACCTGCTGGCTCGAGATCTCACACGCACGGTCTGGTCGTCTACCAGCTTCCAAAGGTGTCAATTTTATGAACTTGGATCCCTTTGCTCAAGCTAAAGCTACCATCACAACTTTCCCGCTCCGATGCGACACTGTTATGCCGCCTTTGGTTGGGTGTTGCATTCACAAAGGTGTACTCCTTTCGCCAGGGGCGGCGCCAGGGGGGGGGGGGCAAGGGTGGGCTGGAGCCCCCCCAAAATTCTCGCCTGCCCCCCCTATGCCCACCCAAGTGCCCAGAAGCATATATTGAAAACCTAGTAGGAGCAGAGCTAGCTTGCCCCCCCGGAGGAACTCACTTTTCGTGGTTGCCCCCCCAGTAAAAACATCCTGGCGCCGCCCCTGCCTTTCGCATTGGTATGGCAGACACTCCTACATGCGACTACTGCGGAGATGAAGAGACCATCGAACACGTCCTGTGCAGCTGCGCTTGCTACGACACACAGCGATGCCAGCTACGGATGGTTTTGAATCGACTTGACCCCGGACCATTTTGTGTGCAGAAGATACTAGGACCTTGGGCATCTGCCTCAGTTACGCAGAAAGCAACTAAAGCACTGCTACTTTACCTTAAGTCAACAAACCTGAGCGACCGCCTGTAAACTGTGTGTGCTCCCCGAGTGTGCTCGTGATTGTGTGTACCTTCTCATCTTTCTGCAACCTCTTTTCTCCCCTTTATCCCTTCCCCAGTGCAGGGTAGCAAACCGGATGTGCGTCTGGTTAACCTCCCTGCTTTTCCTTGTATCTTTATCTCTCTCTCTCTTCATCGTCATCAGCCACTGCATAAAAAGATGCACTAAACTTCAAAGAAGTGTGTAGCGAATACCGCGTACGATTCTCCAAAGAATGGCGAAGGATAGCATAGTGAATGCTGGCCTACTACAGAAAATTTATGATTATTTATGGCACTGTGGGTACCCAGCAGTGCCCTTGTAGCATCCCAAAGAGTTTTTAGAGAAGGCTCTGAAAGGCCACTCTCCCAGCTTTCGCTGTGACTGTTTTGCGCGTTCCTTGCAGGTCTGGCGTGTTCTTTTTTTTTTTACACGCTTGAAGCGCCAAGTGTCCAAGAAAAATTAAAGCAGATGTGCATTAAAGTCTTTTCCACGTTCGTTCGCCTACTAAAAATATTAAACAGGTGCTTTTGTAGCAATAACGAAACGCACGGCAAGCATCACGGCGCTTCAAAACAGGCGCCGCCTCCTTCTGCCCTGAGCAATATGGCCGCCGCGGCTTCACTTCGAGACATGGGCGGGTATGCGGGACCGCCACTCCAGAAAATTTAGTATAACCTCCTTGGGGAATAGCTGCCTACAGATGAGCAGAGACCTACCGACCCTGCCCCGGCTGCTGCCCGTTTGCTGCTTCAGCCATGGCCTTGACATCTTACACACACCCCTCCCCCGCCCCATCTATCCTCTTTTACTCCCCTCCCCCTTCCCCCACAAGGGCCTGCGCCGTGTCGCCCAAGGGGCTGACAGAAATAAGGTGCCTTCTTCCTCTTTCTAGAATCACTCCACAACAACAAACATTCCCGGCGGGAATGGGCTTGCTCGGTCAGTTGAAACGCCGCCCTCCAGAAGCATAAGAATCGCGATGCTTTTCGCGTTTATCTTCTCGTTCACTCTGCAATGTACACGGATACCAAACGGTGACCATTATATATTCCACGCAATAAGCTATCTGCACGACATTCGATCAATCGGCGTGAAGCTTTATTTCGCTTTTTGTCCGTAAGCGAAGATCAACTACGAAGAAAAAAAAACACTTCTCCCACCCCATAAACCCCTACCTACAATTTATGGCTGGATATCTTGCATACTTTGTGGTATCTTCTGGTTCTTGGTTTCCGGAAGCCGCCTGATGAGGAAAGTGGCAGTGAATAGCATTACGAAGCACAGTACGCTCGCCGCGGTCGGGGACACGTGCGTCTGCAGTTTCAACAGAACCGGACCACAGGTCGCACCTAGCTGACCGAAGAAGATGGCCACAGAGGTGCCTATGCCACGCACTACGGTCGGGTACAGTTCGAACGTGAACACGTTCACGACGATGATTTCACCGATCAGCATGCACACGATGATCTCGCCGACGATCCAGGCCAGGCTTCCCTCGTACGCGCCCTTGATGGCGCCGTGCAACAGCAACATGGAGCACGTAAGTGGCAGCGCCGCCGTGAGCAGTGTCTTGCGCCGACTTGCGAGCAGCAGTCTCCAAGACAGCAAAACGCAGACGGTCCTGGTGACGGCGAGAAACACGACGTGCCAGATTCTACCAGAACGCCCGCTCAAGCTCATGCCATACAGGGAGAGCAAAATGCTGAACCACGTCCAGCACAGCGCGACTGTTCTCCTGCAAACTTTCTCGCTAGCCAGAAAAGTGAGGATGTTCATTTTATGCAGCACCGCCGGGGCGTGAAAGGTCGAGACGGTAGCGAACAGGTTGACATCGTTGACGTGGTAGCTATTCCACAGAGCGGCACGCCGTATCACCTTCTCGGCAAACTCGCCGTTGTTGGACACCAGGAGCCAGCGGACGGATTCGTCCAGCAAGCAGAACAGCGGCAGAAGCGCCATGGTGAGGGCGAACGTGACCATGTCCAGCGCTTTGTAGTTCTTGAGCGCTTGGGTGAGTACTTGGCTCAGCACGGTCCCGACGACCCCTCCGGCCATCGCCAAGAAGATATTGCTGTCTCGGTGTTTGTCGCCCGAGCTCTCGAACAGAATGATGAGCAAGGCGAGCTCGAGGACGCTCAGCGCGGCCGCGAGAAGGATACGCGCTGCCATGAAGTTTGCAAACGACCGCGAGAATATAGCGGCGCCGGCGGACGCCACCGAAATGATGGTGCACACGTAGACCGCGGGCAGCCTGCCCACCCGGTCCGATATCTGGCCGAAGAAGGGTACGGAGATGACGACGCCGATCCGGTTGTAGACGAAAGCGACGGGCACGTACCAGGCGTGGTCGCACACCAGGTTCCACTCGCTGACGACCGTAACCTCGCCCGGCTGCAAGTCGTACTGCCACTCATTGCAGGCCACCTCGACGAGCGTGCCGTTGGCGCCGGGTTCGTACAACGTACACTGGCTGTACGCGCCGTCTGGTCGCCGCGGGATGTTCTCCTCCTTCCATAGGTCGGCGTTCACGTCGGCATCGGTCGGAGGCCGGCACCAGTGTCCCACGGGCAGCAAGAACGTCTGCATGGACGTGTGGTGGATCACGACCAGGGCGCACGACAGGTGGGCGAAAGCCACGATGATCCACTGGAACCTACCGCTGCCAACGAGCCGGTCCATGTCGAGCTGAGGCGCGTGACCGCTGGTCGTGCGGGCGTGGTGGCACGGATGGTTGGTGCTGCTGGTGGCAGGGTGCAGATACGATTCCTCCGATGGGGCGATGAACGAGGTTCGATGCTCTGAACTGTCAAGCGGGCTGACGGTATCTGGCTGGGTGGAGTCCTTGTTCCTGCAAGGAATAAAATGAATCTGTCATTTACAAGTTCTCTGTGGTTATATATGTGAAAGGCAGGTGGTGGTGCTCACGTCAACGCCCCAGCAATTTCTAAAGATATTTTTTTACACTTACTGCCATGGACCAAAAACAATTTCAGAGGCCGAAAATTCGTCATCAATGCCATATTTCAGGCACCACCAGAAGCTTTGCGCTCACATGCCACAATTGGCAGGACATTATAGTGTCCGAAATGCCTTTCAAGGTGCCTTTGCGGCAATAATGGCGTACCATTTACGTCTATTAGTACACTGTCTTATAACGGTTTGGAAACCAAACCCGTTCTCCGGCTCTTGCATGATTGGTCAGTTATGTGAGATTACGGCCAGTTATGTGAGGACGAGGCAATGGTTTTTTCATACGTTAGGAGTGCTCATGTTCCTTGCAATTCAACGTTTCTGAGTATTGTTAAAGCAGAATGACGTTACACGTTATTTCATTGTGTAGCGCCTTGTGTTCCCGTGGTCGGCATGGGGACGTCGAGGTGGACCTTTGCTTACGGGACGTCTCCGTCTACACCTATGCCGGATGACAGCGTTACATCGAGTGATTGCCACTTTAACGTTTTAAGCACTACATTCTGCTTAAGCTTCCAAGCTGAGAACCTATAAAAAGTAATATAAGAAATAACAGAATATCGCAACTCTATGAGCACATAACATTAGAAGTGCATGAAGAGAAAAAAAAGGAAATCGTCCCATTAGTTACCAGTCTCTTAAGTCCTTCTCATGAGAGAATTAAGGACAAAGCCGTTATATATAAAAGGAGCTTCAAAACAGAAACAGTGGAGCTGTTTAAGCATGAGTTACTTCCAGCCATGCCGGGCGACCGCTAAACACTGGGCGTAGCTGTGAAAAGCACAGTCGAAGCATAGAAGAACCATGTAAGGCAAGGGCGGGAAAGAGTAGTGATGCTGTACAGCGGAGTTGAGGGGCCAGATTCACTTGTTTTTACGTCGCGAAAGTTGACCACTGACGTCATTTCACCTGCACTTTGTGCGGCGGCACACTGACTTCTCCCC